TCCTTTTACAAGCTGCTCGTCCACCATGTCTCTTAAAGTTCCTATCTAATCTTTTTTTTTTTTTTTTTTTTTTTTGTTATTTGGGTGAAAGCTTACAGAGAAAATTCACTTTCCATACAGCAGTTCACATACGCTTTATCTCATGACATTAACTATAATTTACCACAATGCAACAACGCCCCTCCCACTTTCTCCCCATAGTTTCCTCTTCCCTGTGTCCATCCCTCCAAGCACCCCTGCCCCTTGAGCTGTCTCCCTGTGCATAAACATCCTTTCTATTCTCCCATGATTGTTCTCTCCAAAGAGTGTATCTACCTAGAGTAAATGTTCACTTCATATCCCTGTCTTTTGTTTGGCTGAAAGCAACAGGTGTGCGTTCAATTCCAGACCTGAAGGCCAGCTAGGGGCCATAGTCTCAGTGGTTCCACCAGGCTCTATCAGACCACCAAACCTCATCCATTTTTTTTTTTTTCAAATGATTTTGAGTTTTGTTCCACATTGTTCCTCTATCCAGGGATCTCCTACACAGACCCCCTTCCGAGTGGTTGACAGTGGTAACTAGGCACCATCTAGTTCTTCTGGTCTCATAGTCACATAGGCTGAGGATTGTATGGTGTACCAGTCACTTAGACTAATTGTTTCCATGAATCTTTGGTTTTCTTCATTCTTCTTTGCTCCGGATGAGGAGAGACCCATGATAGCATCTAGATGGCTGCTTGCAAGCTTCTAAGATCCCAGTCCTACTCGCCAACAAAGTAGGAGATGGAACAATGTTTTGTGCAGTAAGTTATGCCAATTGAGCTTGCCTATCTAATCTTTTGAGTGACTGTTTTCAATTTGATCCCATATAGATAGATATTAAACTCAAGGCAGACATTCTTTAGTAGCTAAACTGAACTATTGTTTGGTTTTAAGAAGACTTCAGGGGATATTTTTGCTTTAAGCTTCAAAGATTATCTCAGGGCAATAGTTTCAAGGGTTTATCCAGTCTCACCAATTAGATATGTTAGCCATAAACAATGTGCATGGCCACTCTGATATTGTTCCTGACTGTAACTTTTTGAGAACCAAAATGCATAAAATCCATAAGAATTTGAAATTCTGTTATGCACTTTTTCTCTTTCACTCAGGATTCTTCTACAGTCTTTGATCAAAATATTTAGTAGTGGTACCTGGGCACCATCCAATTCTTCTGGTCTCATGGCAAGGTGCAATTGTTCATAGAAGCAATTAATTAAGGGTAGGGTTGCACAGCCAACTAACGTAATGTAATTGTGGCCAATAAGTTACACACCTGTAAAAAGTTGAATAATGACTGTAAAGGAGAAATTCATAAGGACTTTTTGACCAAAGCCGAATGATTGAATTTAATTCAGTCTTGCTGAATTAAACTGTTCTTATTCATCTGCCTGCCTGGGAATCTGTTTGCTTAGGCTGAAAATCACTTCCTTTCAGAAGCACCCATTATCTGTTAGTGTTAATTTCTAGAAGCCATAAAAACTAAGAAGTAATTTCTCTCTGTAGTCAAGTCAGAATAGAACAGAAATATACTCCAAGAAAGAGAATCTTGACACAGATGTCTTTGGTATAAAGTGAGCCAAAGGAATATTTCTTCACTACAAAGATGTGATAAAGAGAATTGATTGAGAAGGTTTGCAGTTTGCCTTACCTGAAGTTTCCCAGACTCCTTAAAAGGTTTTTGTTTAAGAAGCTGTTTTAGGGAAATGAGATCCTGACATCAAGAGGAGTTGTCACCCACTCCTGAGACACCTGGTTAAAGCTGAGTAAACATCCACTAGTGACATTTTATGATCTCACCTGAAAGCTACGTGAGTAATATTGAAAGGCTCTTTAATTAGTTCCTGAAATCAATCACTGTGATTCTCTATATCCAATTATTTAGTAGAAACCTATTCCCTACCCCTAACCCATCCTCCTTAACCAAAGACTAACCAAACAAAAGACTAACCAATCAAATATTTTCTTTGTTCCATGGACTGTATCTGCCTTAGTTAGAAATTTTAGTTGGAATCATCTGTTCTCATTTTTGTGGGTTGGTGTCTTCCTACATCTGGATGTGTTTTTTTCTCAGTAAATCCTCTTAATTTCACTTTTATGGACTGGGTAGGTTTTTCCTGCACAACACAACAACAATAACAAAAAGAGTAGCTGCTTATGAACAACTAAACACCTCCTGGGATTAATTTTCTTGGTTTGGATGAGTAGAGCCATGGTTTCATGGGACATTCCAATCAATTGACCTGATAATCATGTTTAGCCCTTCTGCTCTATTCCTAGTTCATTGTGTAGTGACTAAGGTCTTAAAAGCTGGTAACTGGCTATCTAAGGCACAACGATTGGTCTATGTTCACCTGGCATAACAAAGGAACAAGGACAGCCAGGAATAGGAGGAGGAAATGGAATGTATATTCACTTTTCATCTTACCTTTTTTCTATACTTACATATTTTTAAGAGATTTTTTCAGGTCATTTACTATATGGATATATTTGTATTTTATATATATATATATATAATCAGTAACAACAGTTATCAGTAATTTCTTATGATCCACACACAGTCAAAGGCATTTGCACAGTCAATAAAACACAAGTAAACATCTTGCTCATATTCTTTTCTTCCAGCAAAGATCCGTCTGATACTAACAATAAAATCCCCTGTTCCATGGCTTCTTCTTAATCTGTCTTGAATTTTTGACAGTTTCCTACTGATGCACTGATGCAACGATTTTTAAGTTATTTTCTGCATAATTTTACTTACGTGTGCTATTAATGATATTGTTCGATAATTTCCAAATTCTGTTGGATCACCTTTCTTTGGAAGGGGCACAAATATGCCACTTGCAGTCTGCTGGCCAGGTAGCTGTCTTCCAAACTTCTTCGCATAAATGAGTGAGAGCTTCCAGCACCACATCTATTCACTGAAGCATCTCATTCGGTATTCTGCCAATTCCTGGAGCCTTGTTTTTCATCATTCCTTCAGTGCAGCTTAGACTTTTTCCTTCAATACCATCAATTCTTGATCATATGCTATCTTCTGAAATGGCTGAATGTCAATCAATTATTTTTGATACAGTGACTCTGTGTGTTCCTTCCATCTTCTTTGGATGCTTCTGCATTGTTCAGTATTTTGCCCATAGGCTCCTTCAATATTGCAATTCAAGGCTTGAATATTTTCTTCAGTTCTTTCAGCTTGAGAAATGCCATGTATGTTTTCCCCTTTTGATTTTCTAACTCCAAGTGTTCACGTACTTCATTATAATACTTCACTTTGTCTTCTTGAGGTGCCCCTTGAAATCTTCTGTTCAGATCTTTTACTTCATCATTTCTTCCATTTGCTTTAGCTACTCTGTGTTCAAGAGAAAGTTTCAGAGTCTCTTCTGACATCTATTTTGGTTTTTTGTTTCTTTCCTGCATTTTTTTATGAGCTCTTGCTTTTTTCATGTATGATGTTCTTGATGTCTTCCCATAACCCACCTGGTCTTCAGTCACTGGTGTTCAGTGCATCAAATCTATTGTTCAGATGGTTTCTAAATTCAGGTGGGATATACTGAAGGTTGTATTTTGGCTGTCTTGAACTTGTTTTAATTTTCTTCAGTTTCAGCTTAAACTGGCATATGAACAATTGATAGTCTGTTCTACAGTTGGCCCCTGGCCTTGTTCTTATTGATGATACTGAGCTTTTTCATCTTCTCTTTTCACAGATGTAGTATATTTGATTCCTGTGTATTCTCTCTGGTGAAACCCACATGTATAGTCACCATTCATGTTGCTGAAAAAGGTATTCACGATGAATAAGTCATTGATCTTGCAAAATTCTATCATGAGATCTCTGGCATCATTTCTATCACTGAGGCCATATTTTCCATGTACTGATTTTTCTGTTTTCAGTGTTCACATTCTGATCACCGATAATTATCAATGCATTTTAATTGCATATTTGGTCAATTTCAGACTGCAATAGTTAGTAAAAATCTTTAATTTTGTCATCTTTGGCTTTAGTGTTTGGTGATAAATATGAATAATACTAGTGTTAACTAGTCTTCCTTGTGCAGATGGGCATTATCCTATCACTGACAGTATTGTACTTCAGGATGGATCTTGAAATGTTCTTTCTGACAATGAATGTGAGGCCATTCCTGTTCAATTTGTCATTCTCAGCATAGTAGATCATATGATTGTTCAATTGAAAATGGCCAATAGCAGTCCATTACAGCTCGCTAATGGCTAGGACATCAATCTTTATGTATTCCATTTCATTTCTGACAACTTCCAATTTTCCTATGTTCTAATTATTCGTATGTTCCATGTTCCAATTTTAATAGCTGTTTGCATCTCTTTCTTCTTATACTGAGTCATGCTGCATCAGCAAATGAAGGTCCTGAAAGCTTTACTCCATCCACATCTTTAAAGTGGACCCTACTTTGAGGAGGCAGCTCTTCTTCAATCATATTTTGAGTGGCTTCCAACCTGAGGGGATTTTCTTCTGGCACTATGTCTGACAATGTTTCCTTGGTATTCATAAGGTTTTCAATGGCTGATTTTTTTTCAGAAGTGGAACACCTCTTCCTTCTTAGTTTGTCTTAGTCTGGGTGCTCCACTGAAACCTGTCCATCATGGGTGACCCTGCTAGTACCTGAAATACCAGTGGCATAGTTTATAGAATCACAGCAACTGTAAACCACCACAGTATGACAAACTGACATATCAAACCAAACGCCGAGTTAATTTCGACTCATAGCGACCCCCATTGGGTTTTTGAGGCAGTAAATCCTTACGGAAGTAGATGGTCCAGTCTTGCTTCTGTAGAGTGGTTGGGTAGTTTGAACCACCAACCTTCTAGTTAGCAGTCAGATGCCTTAGGCACTGTGTTACCAAAGCTCCTTGACAAAGTGACATAGAGTGTTTAAAATATTTATGTTGAATAAATAAAATGAGTAGACTGATATTTTCTATATTGGAACATTTCTTTATAGGAACTGATGGAGCCAGAAGCTGGGGCAAACAGGACATCTCTTGCTGAGTTTCTCCTCCTGGGCCTAGCAGAATCAGAAAAACTGCAGTCTGTGGTCTTTGTACTCTTCCTCTTTGCCTATGTGGTCACAGTTGGGGGCAACCTCAGCATCTTGGTAGCCATTGTAGTGGAGCCTAAACTCCATATGCCTATGTACTTCTTCCTGGGGAACCTGTCAGTGCTGGACATTGGCTGTATCACCGTCACTGTTCCTCCGATGTTGAATCGTCTCCTGTCCCACAAGCGTACAATTTCTTATGGTGCCTGCCTCTCACAGCTCTTCTTCTTCCACCTTCTGGCTGGGATGGACTGCTTCTTGTTACTAGCAATGGCTTATGATCGTTTCTTAGCCATCTGCTGGCCCCTCACCTATAGCACACGCATGAGCCAGGAAGTCCAGAAGATACTGGTGGCTGGGTCTTGGGTTTGTGCCTTCACAAATGCACTGACTCACACTATTGCCCTATCTACTCTCAACTTTTGTGGTCCCAATGAAATCAATCACTTCTACTGTGACCTACCACAGCTCTTCCAGATCTCATGCTCCACCACCCAACTCAATGAGCTGGTGCTATTTATTGCTGGTTTTATACTAGCAGGCATTCCTGTGGTTCTCATCATCATATCCTATATCCACGTGGCGGCTGCAGTTCTACAAATCCATTCAGTGGAGGGCAGGAAGAAGGCTTTCTCCACATGTAGTTCCCACCTCACAGTAGTCTGCCTCTTCTATGGAACAGGTATCTTCAACTACATGAGGCTGGGCTCAGAGGAGGCTTCAGACAAAGATAAAGGGGTTGGAATTTTTAACACTGTCATCAACCCCATGCTGAACCCACTCATCTACAGCCTCAGAAACTCTGATGTTCAGGAAGTTCTGTGGAGGATGCTTGTAGGGAGGGAGTAGAGCAACGGAAATAAAATATGAAGATATAGGGAAAGATGGGACAAAATGGTGAGATGGCAGGGTAGAAATGAGAGAGCACAGAATGAAAGAATCAGAGAGGAGAAAAGATATGTTAATTAAGGATATCAAACAAGATGACTCAGGAATGTCAATTAGGTCAAAGATAGATGTGGACAAATTGAAAAATGAGTGACGATGGGAATGATAATAAAATTTATAGTTTGGAATTACTTCCTATCAGCATGCGGCCATAATATAACCAGTGTCTCCACTGTTGATATTATTGTTGGGCCCAACCTTCCAACAAGGAAAAAATGGTTTAAATCTTGCTGATTTACTAAAACTGTGTAGTGGCTGCACAAGTGCTTTTTTTCCTTTCATACTCTGTATGGGTGTATTTATAATATTCACAATTTAAAAATCATAGAACAGATCTCTTGATGTGGCTGTAGGTACACATAGAGTGATGCTTCTACCTTTTGCCTAATATTTCACTGTATGTATCAACTACATTTTATTTATCCACTCCCCAATGATGAATGTCTATCACCCTGCTGCCACCAACAAATGCTGTGATAAATATCATGGTACATGTCTCCTTGTCGACCTTGAGAAATTTTCTCTGAGATACATGCTTAGGAGTAGGATTTCTAGGCAATGAGAAATACAGATGGAGAGAGACAGGGATGAATAGATAAATGTGTGGATGGATGGATGGATGGATACAGATACATAATATTCATATTTATATTTAATTTTAACAAATACTGATTGCACTCCTGATTATTTCTACAGGTTCACACTCCTATCAACAGTACATATTGTTTCCATTTTCCCATATCCTTCAAAACATTTGGGTTACAAGTATCTCTAGTTTGGGATAGTAATTGGTGCAAAGTGACATCTCATCACTTCTCTGTTTACAAGTGACTTTTACTACCTAGTCATATCTTGTTAATGATTTTGGTTTCCTTTTCTGAAATACTCTTTTTATATGCTTTGCCTATCTTTCATCTGGGTTTCTTCCTATCTTTATTTGGTATAGCTTCTTACATTTTTTAGATACTAATCTTTTGTCATGGGAGCTCTGGTGGCATAGTGCTTAAGGCATTTCACTGCTAACCAGAAGACTGGAGGTTCAAACCTACCAGTCACTCCTTGGAAGGAAGATTGGGTACTCTACTTCAGTATAGAAAACTCAAGGAGAGGTCACTATGAGTAGCAATTGACTTGACAGCAGTGAGGTTTTTTTTCCAATCCTTTGTGTGATTTTAAGACATTGGAAATAACAAGGAGGGGTCACTATGCATCAGATCCGACTTGATGGCAGTGAGTTTAATTTGTTTTCTATTAACTTTATTGTTGTTGTTGTTGTTGTTACGTGCCATTGAGTCTGACCCAATTCATAGCGACCCCTCCTTGGGTTTCCAAGGCAGTATCACTACGGAAGATGATTGCCCCATCTTCCTTCCAAGGAGTGGCTGGTGGGTTTGAACCACCAGCCTTCTGGTTGGCAGTCAAGTGCCTTAGGCACTACGCTACCAGAGCTCCTATTAACTTTATTAGTGGTGTCATTTGTTGACTAGAAAACCTTAAATTTTTATGTTTTTTTAAATATTCCTTTTGAGCTAATTATAGAATCATGTGTAGTTGTAATAAATAATACAGTGAGATCCCTTAGACCCTTTGTCCAGTTTTCCCCAATGTTAACAGCTTGAAGAACTACAGTACAATATCACAACCACTATATCAACATCATATACATTAAAGATAAAGAAGATATCCATCACCCCAAGGATCCTCATCTTGACCTTTTATAGCCACACCCACTCCCTCCTCATGTTTCCTTCGTAAAGAGAGTGTACTCTGGATATTTCCAAGGAAAACAATCAGATGCTGGTTCCTCGGGTCTCACATAAGGTTTCTACTCCCTGAGTCTTCTGACTCCTTCAATTTTCCTGGCAAAGTTGGCCTCTCCTTATCCTTTCATATAGTTCATCTTCTTGCCCAAACTGCAATGGGACATCTCAGCAGTTTATCGGGACCACCTCCAGGCATCCTTGACAGGATGTTAAATCCTGAGTTGTGAGAAAATGCTCCCATGTAAATTCACTCTTCCTGTACAGCCTCACATTCTGCTGCATCCCTGTGGTACTCATTATCCACTCTCATACAGACTCCTCCCAAAACTGGAGGAGCTGCTTATTCCAGCCAGCATGTATTGGCCAGGACATTACTATCTTATTGCTGCTTTAAAAAATTACCACAACTTTAGTGACTTAAAAAAGCAGACACTTATTATCCTACAGTTTTTGATGCCAGAAGTCTAAAATTGTTTTTTTAAGGCTAGAATCAAATTGTTGGTAGGGCTCAGGATCATAGTCTTGGGGTACATCAGGGTCAATTGACATAATATAATCTATAAAGACAATATTCTGCATCCTGCTTTTGTGAGTAGCAACTGGGGTCTTAAAAGCTTGTGAGCATCTATTTAAGGTGCAGCTATTGTTTTGTCCCCACCTGGAGCAAAGAAGAGTAAATAAAATCAAAATCTCGAAGAAACAATTAGTCCAAAGGACTAGTGGGCCACGTGAAGCCCAGCTTCTACAACTCTGAGACCAGCATAAATAGATGGTGTTTGGCTACCATTGCTAAACACTCTGAAAGAGATCACAACAGGAGGTCCTGGATAGAATGGGAGAAAAATGTGGAACAAAATGCAATATAACAAAAAAGACCAGGTTTACTGTCAGATGGAAACTGGCAGAACCTCAAAAACTATGGTCCTTAGATACTCTTCAAGCCTAAAATCAAACTCATCCCTGTAGCTCCACTTTCAGCTAACCAATAGATAAGCCCATAGGGTGAACAATAGCAAAAGGTAAGTATGCACTCCTTAAAACAACCAATCATCGGAGACTAAAATGGCAGCATTTTCCCAGGGATGAATTGCAGAAGCCAAGAAGAGACAGGAAAGAAGGGTGAATGGAAACAGTAAACACCAGGAGGATGTGGGAAGAGTGCTGCTACATTGTGGGGGCTGCAATCAATGTTATGAAACATTTATGTTATGAAATGCTTATGAATTGTTGGATGAAAAAGCAATCTGCTTCGTAACCTTTCACCCAAATCACAATAAAAAATTTGGGAAAAAAAGTGCTGATGAGGATGATTCCTTCAGGCTTCAGAGGAGAATTGGTTCCTTGGCTCTTCCTGCTACTGGTGGCCACAATGACATACAGAATACCTCTCAGGATTGTGGGAGAGAGGATCAGTGGGCATCTTTCCATTGGTTCCCATCCCCCATTGTCTGCTGCGTTCTATACCTGAAAAATCCACAAGTCCTTGGCCTGAGTGAAGTTCTCCATAGTTCAGAGCATTCGAGAGCCCAGGGAAGAGGCCACACACCCTGTCAGCTTTCACTGAGTGGAAGCTTGCAGGAAACTCTCCATTCATAACTGAAATTAGAACAAAAGCTGAACATATATGGGCCAGAACATCCAATATGTCTGCCATAATCTACTTCATATAATGATATTTAGGTTTCAAAAGGATTTTACGCTTGCGAAGTTCTAAGCACATTGCAATGTATGTACAAGCATTTGTGAATGTTATCCATTGGTGAATAGGGATACAGTTAAACCTCTTGCTTCATTTAACCTTCTCAGCAATACTGGTTGGAGGATATTCTCATTCCACAGATGAGGACATTGAGACCAAAAAGGGTTCAACAGCTTGTCCAAAGTCAAATAACCAGAAGAGTAGGTCGGTCTCTTGTGATTTCTTAATCCACCACTTTTCCGTGGTGAGAGAAGAGCTAGTAATCTCTCTTGGGAGAAGAGGTTTGGGTGAGTAATTATTGATAGGAATAGGAGTCAGAGAAATACACTCCTTAACTTTCCTGCATCCTCTGTTCATTATTGTGTGACCTCCACCAAACTCTCAATTTCTAAGGGCCTGGTCTAGAAAACTACATTGATAGGCAGAATCCCAGGAGTCCTAGCACAAAACAGCCCTCTACTACCACTTCCAAAATCATTATGAGATCCCTAAGACCTAGCCCTAGTTGCCCACACTAACAAGGCCTCAGGGAGAAAGCACTACATTCTTAAGGATTCATTATGAAGCTGAGTTTGAAGATAGCTCTCCCTCTGGCCTCCTTTCTGGGAGCTCCACCTAATCCCCAGGTTCCAAGGAAGGTCTGGGAATTTGCTTGTCTTTGCTCAAAGGCCTTGCTTGGGGTTGACACCTGGGAAAGAAAATGCCTCCCTTAGGCAAACCATACTTAAGCCCAACTGCACTTCTAGCTTCCTGAGTAACTTAGGAGATATGGACAAGTCCTCTAGGTCTCAAAGATCTCATTATTAATTGGAGCTTACATAACCTGTCCCAACAATATACCTGTAAAGTTAACCTTTTTGAGAGAGTCTAAATGCAGGGGAGTGGGAGGCCTCATTGCAGTCTTGATGAAGGGCTTGAGTTGTTCACGTTTCCTTTTCCATCGTCTCTTTCCTCGCCTTTCTCCAGTTCCCTGGGAGGTTAATTTCTGGTGCCCCCAGGGGATAATACTGTAGTGTAGATAGCCCTGTGATAGAGAAGACAGCAGCATTTTTCCCTCAATTTCCCATATATAGTCCTTTCCTTGCTTTCTGGGTAGATAAGTAGGTCTGAATTACTCCTTACTTTGTTTTCTTAAGAGATATCACTGATTTCTATGCCCATTCCAGGGTGAGTACTCTCATGGGCCATTCTTCTGCTCTTATGAATCAGAAAAGATGTTTTCGTTGCCATCTGTTCAAACCTGACTTTGTACCTTGTACGACTGATGCTTCTGAAACGACAAACTACTTATGAGAAGTGCTGGGACCACAACCAGGCGGTCCGGACTGCTCTTCTGGTTCTGTTTGCCAAAGCCCATTCATCTTGAATGAAGTCTGCTCTCTGTTACCCTTAAAGGTGAGTATGAGGGGATTCACTAAGTCAAGCTCCTGCCCAGGACCCAGTCCATCATGCAGCCTTCAGGTTGAGAATAGTTGAGACTTGCTGAGCCTTTTCAACATCAGGACCATGAAGGGATTGGCTGTAGTTCCAGAGTGGGAGCTGTCATAGCTCAGTCAGGAGAGCCAGGGGCTCATTTCCAACCCCTAACAGTGATAATGAGGAGCTCTGGTAGCATAGTGGCTAAAGCACATGACTGCTAACCAGAAGGCTGGCGGTTCAAACCCACCAGCCACTCCTCAGAAGGAAGGTTGGGCAATCCTACTTCCATAGTGATACTGCCTCGGAAACCCAAGGAGGGGTCGCTATGAGTCGGGGCCGACTCGACGGCACATAACAACAACAACAACAACAACAGTGATAATGCAGGAGGGGCTATTCCAGGGAGGAGACATGCAGATGATCAGAGTTCATTCCAAAATTCCACTGATTTTAATCAAGCTGCATCTCCAGCCACCTGGGAGTTTGGCAACAACATTCCGTTGCTCTTCTGTCCCCAACTATGGCTTCCTTATAGGTGTATCCTTCCTGAAGGTCTATTCTTTTGGGCAATTCACATGAAAACAAAAACAAAAATGTGTAAATATGTGCATTATTACATTAGCCGTTTGTCACCATCGAAACAAAGGAAATTCCTGCAGCAACTTTTCACCTTGGACTTGCCCCTCCATTTCCCCTCCATGATACGAATCCATAAAAGTCTAGCCCAAATTTCAATGTGCCCAGAAAGTCTTCCATGACAACTCTAACTCACACATTGATACCCCCTTTCTCTGAAATCCTGTGAACTTTTAACCATCCACTTATTTATCTAAGAAATGCTGAGTACCTAATATGTAAAGTACTATGCAAAGTAAAGTATTATGATAAATATCACAATCAAAAACTCAATCAAGCTTTTATTCTGTCTACTCTGTCTTCAGGTCGCTTACAAGTGAAGTAGAGGAGATATTCTCTATAGATGAATGATCATCAGAAGGTAAACATTATAAATTCCATGGAATAATGTGTAGTGGAAGTTTGGGGAAAAAGAAAAAGATCATTTTGAGATGGGGAAGTTCCAAGGAGATACATATCAGCAGTCATTTGGGCATATGGAGTTGAAGAAAAGGAAAAAAAAAAACAGGTAGAGAAAATTTGCATAAACCCGTGGGTGGAAAATCCTAAGGTTGCAATATAACCCTGGCTGGTGTTAAAATGAACCCAAAAGGGAGAATAAAGACTAGTTAATTGTTCTTTAATATAGAGTATGTGAAGAACTGTTATCCACTCATTGTTCTGGCAATTTGCAGAGCACTTATCTATTGGCAATTTCATCAGTGAGAATCAGGCCTGAGGACAAATGCCAACAACTTCCCCCAAATCATGTGACTTTAGAATTTATAGGAGATCTCAGAGGTCACCATGCAAACTCTCACCCACAGGTATCCTCTCGGCAGTACCCTACATTCTGAACACACAATGGAGACCTCATCTGGGAAGTTGGTCATTGAGATATCCTCTATTGCAGACATCCTCCTACTCTAATGCAGGGTCCAATGAGATGCATGTTACTCCCTGGAAACTGTGGGTCAGTCTGTAGTTACTGCCTGAACTACAAGCCTAGGCAGAGGAGTTTGTGAAGGAAGGATTCTAAATAATCTGGGAAGGTTGTTGGCATTACAAGTCCTGTAAGGGGAAAAACAATGAAGAGGAGAACAAGAAGCTGTCTGTCATCTAGCCTTCCAGGCTGCAAAGATGTTGGAGGTTCTCTAGGCTGGGTGGCTATTCAAACCACCTGGGAAGCTGTAATAAAGCACCCATGCCCAGGTGCCACCCCAGACCAATTACTTCAGAATTTGGGGTATAAATCCTGGGCATCGTTATTTTCATCTATAAGCTTCCCAGGTGATTCCACCAAGCGTCCTGATTATCTAGGCTGATAATCTAGTCTAATAGGTCAGGAAATGTAGCTGAAAATACTGAAACCAGAGATTTGTAAGATGTCTTCTTCTGGAACTTTTCTGTCTGTCATTTTTAAACTATTTTCTCCTCTCCCTTCAAGATTATCAACAAAGTTAAGATTAGATAGATATATGCTCAAATCTGAGGACATGGTAAGAAAGGTAATAGAGGTGGTAGTTGAAGGCAGTCAGTGGAATTTTGAGAGAGCAGTGATCAGTTGGAATCACCTAGGGAACTTTAAAAAATGGCGATGCCTGGGTCCATCGTTAGAAATTCTGGTTTAATTGGCCTGGGATTGGGTATCAGGATTCTTTTAATCTCGCATGTAATCCTAACATGTAGACAAGAATGAGATCCCCTGGGGTAGGGCATAAAGACATATGAAGGGGAGATTAAATTCCTATAGTTGTTGGGAAGAAAGGAAAGTGTTAAGCAATAAGGTAATGTCTAAGAAGTGACTTCAGCATTTCAACAGCCATGATATACATATGGTTGTTCTTTGATGTTTGGTGGCTGCGATGAGATTCGAGAATGCCCGGGCACACATTTGGTGTCTGGAGAGAAGACCCAATCACCTCAGGGTATCAGAGGAAAGGCACTTGCTGCCTGGCCAGAGGAGAGCTAGTGACAGGAAATGGAGTGGGATTGACATGAAGTAAAATTGAGTGGGACAGCTACTAACTATTCCCCTAACCCACCAAGTGCTCCTCCGTGGACAGGTGCTACTGCAGTTTGTAAGGCAAGGGACTCTGAGATTTGCAAGGACTCAACCATGGAGAGGGTGGGACTAGCTAAGTAATTCATTAAAATGTACATTATTAATAGTTACAATATAAATAATTTAGAAAGTTTTTTAAAATAGCGTATTTCTAATATCTTGGTATTTCCTTCTACTTACTGTGTTTGTATATGTGTGTTTTAATATTGAGATCAAATTTTATATGTGGTTTTACAATTCCCCATACCTGAGTCAAGGGCAAGGGGAAGACCATCCCTTTGCTGTCATTGGCCTTGAGTCAATTCCAACTCACAGAGAACTGCCCTCTAATGTTTCCAAGGCTATAAATGTTTACGGAAGCAGATTGCCACATCTTTCTTCCATATAGTGGCTGGTGGGCTTGAACCACTGACTTTTCAGTTTGCAGCTGAGCACTTTTAACCACTGTGTTACCAGGGCTCTTTAGTAGAAGGCCAGTGGCTATGAAATGCAGATATTCAACTGCACTCAGCAGCAAACATTCCACAAGTTGTGATTATAACTCTTACTTCAGTGAATGGCAGATAATCTAAACAGAATAAATATTATTAAATTAAATTGTTATTCAAAGTCCAGTTTAGGGATTGGATAAACACCAAAAATACTAGCAACTTATTGAAGAGGAATTTTGAATGTATGCTTCAGAGTATGTATGTCCCTCACTTCAGAGAATGTCCCTCACTTCAGAGAAATGTATTTGGCTGGTCCTTCTAATATCTATAATCATGGGTGTCTTCTCTCAGATCCTTGCTATACCTTCATTTGATCTTTACTACTTGAAACTTATATATGTTTTCATATGCTGTCTAGTTTCTCTGAAAATATAACTAATTTTTTCATTTTGAAATCTGCTTACTGGTTTGTGATAATCCCTCAAGAACAAAATGAGGAAATCCCATCTAGATCTTGCTGTATTCAAAGAGGAGGACTTCTTTTCTCTTATTTTCCCAAGAATTCTGTCAATTTCAGATATGATAGGGTTGTTGTTGTTGTTATGTGCCATCGAGTCGGCCCTGACTCATAGTGACCCTTCCTTGGGTTGCCGAGGCAGTATCACTACGGAAGTAGATTGCCCAGTCTTCCCTCCGAGGAGTGGCTGGGTGGAAGTGACAAAATAATGGGGGCTCTGAACATTTCAGTTGGAAACAGGGATAAAGGATTGAGGGGACGGTGGAGGGGCAACCTGGGGAGTGGGACAATAATTACCTGGACAGCTGGGAACTTACCATGAGCTTTGCACAGAGGGTTTCAAACATTTATGCTGAATAAATAAATTGAGTGGGCTGATATCTCCACCATTGGGACATTTCCATACAGGGACTCATGGAGCCAGGTACTGGGACCAATAGAACAACTCTTACTGAGTTCATCTTGCTGGGCCTAGTGGAATCAGAAAAGCTGCAGTCTGTGGTCTTTGTCCTCTTTTTCTTTGCCTACATGGTCACAGTCGGGGGCAACCTCAGCATCCTGGCAGCCATTTTGATGGAACCCAAACTCCACACCCCTATGTACTTCTTCCTGGGGAACCTGTCAGTGCTGGATGTTGTCTGCATCACAGTCACTGTTCCTCCAATGTTGCATCGTCTCCTGTCCCACAAGCGTACAATTTCTTATTATGCCTGCCTTTCCCAACTATTCTTCTTCCACCTTCTGGCTGGGATGGACTGCTTCCTATTGACAGCCATGGCTTATGACCGCTTCCTGGCCATCTGCCGGCCTCTTACCTACAGCATCCGCATGAGCCAGGAAGTTCAGAGGGTATTGGTGGGTGTGTCTTGG